TATGAAACTATAGCCTATGACGTAAAATTCAAATAGATGTTATACGGCATAAGAAGTCCCCGCCCTAAATTCCCTTGGCAACAGCCGCCAATATAACGCACTAAAGTAGTCTCTTTCACTCTCATTCATAAAGCAGATTACATCTCACTCTTTAGACTCTATGTATTAACGGTGTCAGCAACTGTCAAAATAAACCCGGCGTACAAACCACTCGGCCACAGAGGTCAAATAATCTCTTATCTATTAGACAAGTCCGTCTGTCTGTGGTGTTGTTTCAGCGGCCAAACCGTAAGAGGTAGATAAAGAGAATATTTAAGTTATAAGTTAAGAATAGTCTGATAAGACTACAAACCGGATTTGAGTAACGTAGCACTTCCGGTTTTCGAGAAATCACGAATTTCAAACGAAACCACACAAAATCTCCGAAGTTCTCAATTTTCTTTTTTTTTTTAAATCAGGTTTTGGTAAACATTTGGTTCACTGGTTTGCTAGTTTTTACATTAATTTCTTTAAAACTGTACTGACGAATTTAATGACAAGTTTTCTTGTCTCTAATAGTTCCCGTGTAATTTGTGTACTATCTAAAACACACATAGAGCTTTTTTTCTGGAAAAACGTAAAATACTAACATGTTGTAGCGAAGTGTAGCCGCGGCGAGAGAGCGTGCCCGACTAAATGCAAGTCGACCAATTACCTGACTTTGGTATTGCCAAGTTAAAAAAGTATTTGACGTATTTAAAACTATAAAACATCATAGACTATAAGCACACTTTGTCGGGGCGCAGCAAGTGCATATATTTGCACGGACGTCTGGCAGTACATTGTACCCAAAATCTTCCAATGAGTTGCGATCCGGCCCGTCAATAGTGTGCAATTTCTTGGATTGCAATCTGCGATTATTTACACCGATCGAACCAAATGTCAAAATAGGCAGATAGGTTATTGACACGCTCAAACTGTCATTTTCGAACAGAGGGCTATCTTTAATCCGTGATCCGCCCTCCTAAAGATAGATTGGTTTTTTGGATTGCAAATTCAATCCATGGACTGGTTATTGGCATGCTTTACCTCGAAAATAGATTGAAATCTCAATCTCAGATAGCAAAAAATGGAATAGGATCTCTTATCTATTAGACAAGTCCGTCCGTCCGTCTGTCTGTGGTGCTGTTTCAGCGGCCAAACCGTAAGAGAAAGATAAAGAGAATATTTAAGTTATAAGTTAAGAATAGTCTGATAAGACTACAAACCGGATTTGAGTAACGTAGCACTTCCGGTTTTCGAGAAATCATGAATTTCTAACGAAATCACACAAAATCTCCGAAGTTCTCAATTAATTAAATACATTTTCTTTTTAATCAGGTTTTGGTGAACATTTGGTTCACTGGTTTGCTAGTTGAATATTAATTTGGGCGTAAGTAAGCATTTTGCGTTGCGCCACGGCCCGTTCCGCCCCGCTGCGGCCCGACAGACATAATGTGCGCGAAGCTTTAAGAAACCAGAGTTGGTCATGTGAGCGCAAATTGTCACCAGCTACTGTTTGTAATATAAATCTGCTAATCTGCGATTAAGGAAAACTTGATACTGGCAATGTGTTTTCTTGGAAACAAAGAGTAGAATTCATTAAATTTTAGGAAGCATTACCTTTGAATTTTAAACTTCCTATTTTGGCTAAAACGTGGCTGTTCATGTTTGCATAGACAACAATATTTCCTTTTCGTTCCCTATACATTATGGTAAGGATATCTTCATCAACATCATTTGCTGGAGCGCCAGCCTACTGAAATGAAGCTGGGGGCTTAGACAACGTAACATCGCTTCGTAGCGAAACGATATCTAAATTCGTCATCGTCTCTGAAATAACGAAATCAATTGCCTTACCCATGGTAACACTTGTCGTTATCGACGTGTCGAATTGTTTTGTCATTAAGAAAAAAAAATGTCTATGGTAACGCAAATATTTGCTGTCAATCAGTGAAGAAGAGCCCGCGAAATCGGAAACTTATTTAATTATTATATTGCGAGTGTTGCGATGTGAATGTAAGGTTCATTAATTAATGGGTCTCTGTAAAGCTTTTTTTTTTGTTTCCTCCCAGGCGGGGGAGCGGGTGTGCAATCCTCATGGATACCCTACAGCCGGCTGTAGGGTTATGTCAGACTCTTACTGCCTAAAACATACCCGTGGGGATGCCTATGGCCTTAGGGGCTTTACAGGCTTCATCTAATGCGATCAACCCCTGGGAAGGGGATATGCAGCGCTGCCTTAGTAAATACTACTGCATAGTGCGCTTAGAGGACGGATGCACTCTGATGTGCATCCGTATCGGTTTGGGACTGAGCGACTGAAGGTCTCTCAGCCCCTCTAGCATGACCACAGAAACGGGATATGATAAAGCGACATATCGACATTAACTGTCAGACTACTGTCAAACTCCATAATAGTCTGACAGTTAATGTCGATATATCGCTTTATCATATCCCGTTTCGGTGGTCATGCTAGAGGGGCAGGATCGGGGGGGGGGGGGGGGGGGTTCTGTAAAGCCTCAGCATCGTGTTAGATAAAGATCACCATTTATGTTGTGTATCGTTTCTCACAACCCATATTGCTCAACTTGTTTATAGAAAAGTAATACTAGTAATAGCGTCCTGTGTGAGGGACCACAATGCTTTGCTTTGTACATGTCTTAATTGTATTTTTAATAATAGATTAGAACCCAGAGGCTCACGCATAGACGGGACATATCCTTTTTTTAAATACTGGCTGTATATTTTTACGTCGTTTATCGTTGCGATTAGGATTTTAAGAAAAAAAAAAGATTTTTCATTGCCGCCAAAATTATTGACGTTTTCAAACGCATTGATAGATAGATAAAACTTTATTCGCACCAACATGCACACATACAAAATTGAAGACAAATTTTAAAATTATATAAATCCTTTAAAACATGCAACAAATTATATTTATACAACTATACTATGATATTTTCGTGTGCAGCAGCGATGCGAATGGGCGAAAACTCAGCGTAACATTTACTCAGAGAGTATATCGCTGATTTTCAGTTCTGTTCTGACTTTCTGACCCATATAGATGAGGTCACGCAATTAATTGTCAGATTAAAATTCACAATACAATAAACGAAATTAAAATTAAATTAAATACAAAAAATAATTAAACACTCATTGGACATATAATTGTTATGGTACATTTACATAATCATAAAACAAAGAAAAAAAAATTGATAAATTAATCAGTGACAAAATATTTCACATTCAAAGCATTGTTCCACAATGTGAATTATTAATTTATAAAACTATAATAAAATAGTTAAGTGACGATTAAATCACCTTTTATTAATAACGCCTTAACGATAAGTCATATTACTCCAAGACATCAATCTATCAATGTCTCCTGATGCACAGTCCTCCCAATGGATGGAATAGAAAGATGGTGAACACAGAGGCCTATTTCCTATTGGTGGATACTAAAGACTGCACGTGCAGCCAGGACCGACGGGTTAACGTGCTTTCCGAACACAGAGGAGCTAGAGATAATAATAAGTTTTGGTCACCCATCTAATGACCGGCCATTGCGAAAGTTGCTTAACTTCCACGATCACAGGCCGAGCGCATTAACCTCTTTTACTATCAAGCTCCTCTCTGATAAGGTTATGTTGCTATCAAATTTAGTTAGCTAAATATGTTATAGTGGTTACTATAATTTATTTATTATATATATATACATAAATATACATATTTCAATGTATATATATATATATATATATATATCGACCTATGCATAGAATAAAGTTACATATGAAAATGTTACCAAATTGCTTTTATTGTATTTAGTGGTAAAAACATTTATTCTAAAACTTATATAACTTGGAAGATAGTAATTGAATAAAGGTACATGTAATTTTTGTTTGAGTCTATTTTTCTTGTTTGATCGATTTTGCCCAATCTTTGCCATATTATCATAATGTGACGCGACAGAAAATATAAATTACGTAAAACAAAGTTATATCTACACACAATTTGACACGTTTCCCAAGCATAAGGTTTGATATGCATATGTAACATAAAGGTGTCCGTAGTAAATTGTCACATAATCACATAAGAAACTCTTAAATAACGAAATATAAGCCGTAAATGCAGTTTTTTTTAAACAATAAATGCGTGATAATTTGCTTCTCAATGCTTTATATGATTAGTAAAAAAATTCAAATGATAGAAAAATACCAATACAAGTTACAGCATATTTTACATTTTACAAACTTAAAATCGCTCTACTGTAAAGTTGTGATTATGCAGAAGTAGCTTTATTCTATGGATAGGTCGATATATAGATATACATATAAATTATAGTAATTTTCTTGAGATTCCTACAGAAACCTAAGATATTTCCGGTATAAAATGTGTTCTATGTCTTAATCGAAGTAATAAACTATATGTGTACCAAATTTCATTAAATTCCATTCAATTGATACAAAGTTGAGATACAATCAATTGATAAGTGTGAAAGTTTGTATGTTTGATAAATAATCAATCACGCAAAAACTACTTAACGGGTTTGATGAAATTTGGTGCACATATAGTTTATGCCCTGGATTGAGACATAGGATACTTATTATCCCGGAAAAGTGTCAGGTTCCTGAGGAATTTTCAAAATACTAAAGGTAACGCGGTCGAAGTCGCAACAACAGCCCGTTTTACAAACTTTTACATTTATAATATCACAAAGATTTGATTGTATGAAAGGTGACTTCATGAATTATCTCTGAAGTCATTTTTCAACTAAACGACTCTGTAAATAATAAAACAGGGAGAAAAATACAGCCCTAGCTGAGTTTCTTGCCGGTTCTTCTCAGTATAAGGTCTCCCGCTGTAGATTTACGAACCGATGGTGTAGCTTCTAGACAGTCATGAGTGCTTGAAACAGCCTAAACTGTTTTTTGTTTTAGAGATTTTGATTATGATTATGTAGAATAGAATGTTGGTTGCAGATCAGGCCATCATGGGGGCACTGTTCCGCAGCGAGGAGATGGCGCTCTGTCAACTGTTGGTGCAGCCCGAGGCGGCCTATATATCCATGTACCAGCTCGGGGAGGCCGGCATAGCGCAGTTCCGAGATGTGAGTGAACTGTTCTGTTATAAATTCTTCGTATTTTTATAATATTTAATCAATTGGTTTGAAGCTAGAGTCAACATACTTACATCATCATTAGCCCATTGATGTCCCCGCCGCTGGGGCACAGGCCTTCCCAATGGATGGAATAGGGAAATCGACCATGACCCACCACCCGGGCCTCAGACTGCAGATGCAGCCGAGACCAACGGCTTAACGTGCCTTCGGTAGCACGGAGGAGCTCGAGATAGTAAATTTTTGGTCACCCATCCAATGACCGACCGCTGCGAAAGTTGGTTAACTTCAACGATTGCAGCCGATCGCGCTGACCACTTGCGCCATCAAGCTCCTCAACATACTTACATATACTTTGGAAACCACGAAAACTGTATAAAAATCTGTATTACAAATGCGCGTATTATAACATACTTAGCGATACTATTTATAGGTTCAAACCAGTTGGTAACATTATGTACTTTAAAAAAATTAAACACTTAAAAAACAGCACGCATTCGGTGTTGCGTAACAAAATAAATGGTCCTCATAGCCAAGTTCAATTATTATTAATTAGAGTTTATTAACGAACGTTCATAAGCGACAAACTCCGACTGCAGAGGTCAAATTACTGACAATGATCTGTGTATTACACATTTCAAAGACCAACTCTAGCCCTTTAACATTTTGGCCTTTAACTCTGGCTTTTCCCACATCTACGCGACGAAGCTTCGAGAGGCTTTGATCTTCTTCTTATTGACGAATATATGGGGTCGGCTCTCCTAATTTTAAGGCACCAAGACTCTCTGTCTACGGTTGTCGGTTCGGGTAATTTTTCAGCTGTCATTAGCTTCGTCATGCTGGTCCACCAGGTGGCGGGAGGGCGCCCTCTGCCTCTTTTATGTTCAGGAAGCAATAAAGCCTTTCTGACCACATGTTTTATTTATTTATTTTATTCTTCATGCACATACTGTACAATGGCGGACTAAATGCCATAGGCATTCTCTACCAGTCAACCATAGGGTGTTGTGGAGATTTTTAGTGGCAGGGTGCACAACTGAGGTGGAGATCACATTTAAAGAAATATTACTCATAATTAATATAATATAACAATAACATACATATATAAGTAAATATATACAAATAATATAACTAAACATATACATACACATACATACATACATACTTCATATAATACATACATGACGACAAACTACTCAACGAAACGCCTGTTCCAATAAAAAGATTCGCAGCTTGGTTTTAAAGGAATGTTTGTTGGGGGACATTCTAATGTCTAGCGGGAGTTCGTTCCACAAAAGTATAGTTTTGACGAAGAAGGAAGAGTGAATGATATCGGAATTGTGAGATGGAATGACTAGTAAACGATTGATAGAAGATCTAAGATTTTAGATTGGTTCATGTTCCTCGTCTCGTCGCATTAAGTGACCATACCACCGCAGACGGCTCTCTGTAAGTTTTTCAGATATGGGAGCAACTTTGAAACTACCCCGGATATGTTCGTTTCGGACTCGGTCTAATCTTGTGACTCCGCCAGACCACCTCAACATTTTCATTTCAGTGGTATGGAGTTTCTGCAAATAATTTTTCTTTACTGGCCAACATTCCGCCCCGTACAATATTGCCGGTCTCACTGCCGTCTTATAGACTTTGCCTTTGGTGCGTACAGGCATGCGGGGGTCACATAAAAGGATCGAGAGGCTTTGATACTAAATGCATTAAATGTTGCATTCGTATTTAGAATTAGCGTACGCCCGCGACTTCGTCAGCGTTAACTTTTTGATTTTCATTTCTAAAATAAAGATTTTTTTCTAAAATACATGTAGCCTAAGTTACTCCTTATTACATCAGCTACCTGCCAATAAAAGTCCCGTCAAAATCGGTCCAGCCATTTCAGAGATTAGCCGCAACAAATAGTCAGACAAAAATTGGAAAAAAAATTTTCATCCTTTATCACCCACCAATCCGCGCTGAGTCCATTATCACTCACCGATCCTCACTGGGTCCATTGTCACCCACCAATCCGTACCGTATATATTTATATATATACAATATATATATACATGCATATGAATATTCATATGCATGTAGTAAAAAGCTGTTATTTCAATATTACAAATAGACACTCCAATTTTATTTATATGTATAGATGTTTAGATATAGATGACTAGAAGATTAGTTCTGTCGTAAATATTTTGACGATAGCTTGACTGGCGATTATTTAACACGCTAAAACAGTTATATTTTTAATTTTTTAAGAATTTAACTGCTAGATTTTTAAATCTAAAGAAAATTTTACTAGAAAACATTTCCACGCTGACCAGACAGCAAACGGTACTCGAAAAAAAGGACGGTCCCGTCCATTTTTTCTAGTAACATTATCTTTACGCTAGCTAGGAAGTTGTGGAAAACGATAAATTTGAATGTGCTGAAGCCCAAACACGAACTTTGTCAGCCCCGTAATCGTATCGCATCGTCAAAGAATCTATGAAAACTAAGCAGCGCCTCCTACCGGACGTAACAACAAACTGGCTCTTTAAATACAAAATGTCGCAATGACGATACGTGAAGTTCAAAAATGTTTATCACTTGGAATATTATTTCTTGTTAAATTCAATCAGACAAACAGCATACGTATTTTGTAAGATGCAATCTCACTAATGATCTCGTTTATTCGGATTTCTGTCAAATGTCAAATATCTAATGGCTGCTTCTACAGACACAGCGATATTTTGCCATGTAATGGCGTAATACATATCAAACTAATGTCTAAAATCGCAGCTACTGAAATCGGAAGTAAGATTTTATTGTACAGAATCGCCAGTAGCAAAAAGTTCCCAAATGAAAAAAAATATATTTTAATAGGATGCCATCGCATCGGTAAGAAAAACAAAAGACTTTTTGGTGGGATCGGGAAGCGTCACTTTAGCAGTTTTGTTTTTCTTGTTAAAAATTGTGTTGTGGCGGATGTTAGTGTCTAATAATGGTGGATTATTAACCACTAAGTTTTCGGAAACATGCACAAGTGTTGGCAAGTGAAACAAAATATTGGAAAGTGTCTTTCGACGGTCCCTCAAGAAGTCCACGGGGAGGTTCCAGTAAATCCCCACACTTTTACTGAAACATGAGGAAAGGGGGATTGACTTGACTGCCACTTACTTTGACTTGACTTATTACTTTGACCACGAGTGCTATAGTATTTGTATACATTTAACACTTGACATTGGCTAAATGCACAAGCCGTGCGAAGCCATTTAGAAAAAAAAAGGAAAAACAAAAGAACTGAGAAATGCGTTAGTAGCAAACGGGGAATAATAGAAAAGTCGGTTGTAACCCGATGAACCGAAAACTTATTAAGGCTGATCAGTTTTAAATGGCCGCGTATTGGTTGGTGAATGAAACTGAGTTAAATGGGTCATATTACATTGATAGTTTCAATGTCACTGTTTCGTTGCTAGATGACCGAAATGTTTTATTCTCAATCAATAGTTGTTTAAAGAAATTTTGAGTTTAGATTTTACTGGGGTTAGAAAAGTATATGTTGTCAAGTGGACTTACTTCGAAATTCCACTGCGATAGGTGTATCAGCGTTGTAACTTTTCTCTGTGTAACTTTCCATAATATTAGTTGGATACAAATTTCATTTCGCACGTCACAATCAATAGGGTATTAAGTCGGCAAAACAATTTATTTTTTTATTTGCGTTTCGTTAACAACATTATTTTCTCTATAAACTGCTAAGATATTTGCTACTTGGATGTAACTGAAGATCAATTAAATAAGCTAGAGCGTCTCCAAAATCTTGCAATTCGTTTCATATTCGGATTGCGTAAATATGACCGAGTTTCTGCTTTTCGCTCTCAATTGAAATGGCTTCCCATTCGTCTTCGACGTGATATGCATATCCTATCATTCTTGTTTAAAATCCTCAAAGATCCTAGTTCTCCTCATTACCTTGTTTCCCGTTTCAAAACGCTTCCTCCTCCTACTCGTCCTAAAAGGTCTTGCAACACGAAGACACTTGAACTACCAAAAAGTAATACCAACTTCTTTTTCCATTCCTTTTCTGTTCGTGCTGCTTTACTCTGGAACAGACTTCCCTCTAATATTCAAGACTGTCCTTCTATTGTCTCTTTTAAAGCAAAGGTCAAAGAGCACTTTCTGGAAATAAATTCCCACTCTTAGTTGTCTATTTATTCCACTCTTTGTTTTATCTTAACATAATTTCATGTAATGTGTATTTATTATTTTATAGTGTATGTATGTATATGTATTTATATGTATGTATGTATGTGTGTATGTATGTATTTATTGTAAGTATTTGTGCATATGCATATGAATATATATTTATGTATGTAGTCTTAGATAGGTATATAATCTGCAAGTAAGTACTTAGTGCACATCTCTACACCCGCTTACTTTTTTCTCTCACTAAACCTTGGTTGGCTGGAAGAGATCTCTCTTAGAGATAAGCCCTCCTTTGCTCACATATTTATGTTTTGTATCTTACAATTTGTTGTGTGCAATAAAGAGTATATATAAGATAATTGTATCTGTATCTTAATTCGAAAGAATTTTTGAATTATAGCAACACATGTCGTCAATTTCTAGGCAAAATTTATGATTGCGAGTATTCTAAACAGTATTAAGTTAAAACCCTATTGCCCGTTCGGATTAATACAAGTTTGAAGTTTTATTTAAAATAATACCGTCTGGCCTGTTCAATTTTATTTAATATGTTATTTTCAGTAAAATTATTTCAAATGATACTAATTGTAATTTTAACATGAGTTATTTGAGCCATTTGAACTGCTTATAAGGTATTCTCTTTACCCAGTCACATAAAAGTATTTTTAAAATAAAAACTACTATTGATACACTAACAAAACTTACTCAACACAAAGAAGGATAATGTACGTTTAAATCAAGGTATCATTTTAAACATTTGAACAAGAAGTGCCGTTTCTATGATTTTTTAAAACTTCAAAACGCGA